ATGCACTTTACACTCATTCCACGCCTCCATTAGGACCAGCCTAGGCACATGTGGCAGGTGGCTACTGTATTGGATGGGGCAGGTCTGTGGGATACCAAAATATCCAAATGAATATCACCTCACTCTACATGATGAAAAGGCTTTGTTTTTTTTTTTCATTATCTGTGATTTTTTGGATGTGCAGTCTAGGAATTTTAACACAAGTATAGATTCATGTGATGACCACCATAATTAGAATACAGAGCTATTCTTCCATCACCCTCAAAGGACTCCTTGGTGTTATGTCTCTCTCTTTTACTTTTTCTACTTTTTGGCCTTTCCACTTGGCATGTGGGATCTTAGGTCCTCAACCAGAGACAAAACCCACACCCCCTGCAGTAGAAGCATGGAGTCTTGACCACTGGACTGCCAGGGTGCCATCTCTTTACTGTTGTTACCCCCCACCCTCCCCTAATCTTTGCACAAATGCAATCATACTATATGTAACCTTTCGATACTAGCTTCTTCTACTCAACATAATGCCTTTGAGGCTCATCCAAGTTTGTTGTATGCATCAATATTTATTTCTGCCTTATTGTATCATTCCTATTTATTACCGAGTTTTATTACATTGTACGAATGTACCACAGATTGTATCTTCATTCAACTGCTGAAGGACCTTTGAGTTGTTTCTGGTTTGGGATGATTACGATGAGAGCTGTTACATGTGTTCAGGTGTGTGTGTGTGTGTGTGTGCGTGTGTTCAGATTTTCTATGAACTCAAGTTTTTGCTTCATTTCTCAGGACTGAGATTGTTGAGTCATATGTCTAACTTCATAAGAAACTATCAACATGTCTTCCAGAGAAGTTGAACCATTTTTTATTCCCACCAACAATGTGGAAGGGTTCCAGTTACTCTGCATCCCTGTCAGTACTTAGTATTGTCAGTATTTTTACTTAGCCATTCTGATACATATGTAACCCACTCCAGTATTCTTGCCTGGAGAATCCCATGGACAAAAGAGCCTGGAGGGTTATAGTCTTTAAACTTGCAAAGAGTTAGACACAACTAAAGTGACATGGCACATCTGATACATAGGTAGTTGTATCTCATTATAGCTTTAATTTGTTTTTCCCTGATGACTAATGATACTGAGCATCTTTCAGTGTGCTTATTTGCCTTTCTCGTATTCTGTTTAGTGATATGTCTTGGTCTTTTGCCCAGTTTTAAATTAGATTCTATGCTTTAAAATTTTATATATTTTAGAAAAAATAAATAAATAAAAGTTTTATATATTTTAGATACAAATTTCTTTGTAAGATATGTGATCTGCAAAACAGTTTCTCCCAGTCTCTAGATTGTTATTTTATTTTCTTAATAGTGTCTTTCACACAGTAAAAAATTTTTAATATTAATGATGTCCAATTTATTGGCTTTTTTCTTTTATGAATGATGACTTTGTTATCGTTAATAAGGACTCTTTTGCCTAACTCCAGGTCATGGAGATTTTCTCATATTAAGTCTTTGAACAATAAATCACATGTTTAATACCCAAGGGGTTATAACTATCCAAAGAAATTAACTTGTGGGTTTTAGTTATGAAAATCCACATTGTCCTATGGATTCACTCACTCATTCACTCCATAGACATTTAATAAGTGGAAAGTCATCACCAGTAAAACAAAGATGACTACAATTTGGTCCACAATAGTAGTTGCTACTAATTGAGGGTCTAGGATCAGTGGCCATATTAATATTATCTATATTCTCCAATAAAGGAGAAGAACTTGAAACAGAAAAGTTAAGCAATTTTCCAGCAACACAGGCAGGAAATAGTAGAGTTAGGTTTCAATAGCTCCAGTGCTCTCAGGTATGGGAAGTTTCTTTCATTTCTAGCAATAGGAAACAGCTCAGTCTACCTAAGTGGTTAAAAAAAAAAATAGAGAAGTAGTCCACAGATATTTCACAGAACCAGCCCAATGACTGAACCACCATATCTTGGAAGAGAAAAAGTCATGAACTTCAAAGATATAGCTAGCAGGAAAAATAGAGATATCCCATTTGAATGAAGCATCTTCAATTATTTTCATCCCTTGCTTATGCCCTTTCTAGGCTCAAGTTCCTGGAGCAATCATCTGATTGACCAGCTGTGGGTCATGTGACCATCTGTTGCCCAAAGAATGATGGAACCTTCATTGACAGCCCCACCAAGACTATATCCAATTAAGGGGCATAGTCTCCTTTCCTTCTTGAGTGGAATATCAAGGTGCTATTACTAAAGGAAAATGGGAAGAATTGATCCTGGGACAGCAAAAAAAAAAAAAAGATGCCCACTAATGCAATGACTTCCAACATTTTTGAGCATGATCCATGTTAAGAAATCTATTAATAGTTCACCAACATGTAAGTATATTCACATATGACCAAAATGAAATTTTCATTTAACATTATATGCCCTTACAATGTGTAGTACAGTCTGATATGTCACACTTATTTCCTTCCATTTTTAGAAAATGGATGTCCTAAGCCCTTTTTGGGTCAGAACCTGCACACTGCACTTACCATGGTTTCCTTCCTCTCCTTATCCGTGAAGACTCCAGAAGAAAAGATGTGTAAAACAGTGAAGGCATAAAGTGGTGAGCTCCATAATGTCCCTCCAGAGAACATCAACCAAACCATCTCACCAAATGGATGTGTGAACAGAGATGTAACACTCCCGTGAATAAGAAAAGGCTGATAAAAGATACTAGTTTCCCCACAGAAGTAGACCTTGAAACAAAGATGGGAGCCCAAGTAGCTTTTTTGTGAAATGATCCCAGGAAGGCCAGGGAGGAAGTGAGAAAGTGAGATGGGGAAGGGAGGAAGGCCAGCAAAGGGTTCTTGATGAGTTATCTGGGGCTCGGTCAGACCGGACACCTGCTGATAAACAGCTGCAGAACATGCTTCAGGATCATCACACCAAACGGCAGGGACACTGGGATGTTCATCCACCAACTGCATCCTTCCTTGGAAGCAGGTTCCCAAAGCCATTAATTTCCCAATACATCCACCTGCCACCAAGTGAGGACCAAGTGCCCACAGCTGGAGAATACCTTCAGGTAGAGAAATGCAGAAAGATTTGGGCTGTATGGGAATTGTCTGCAGATGGCCTCCAGCTGGGTCAGGAGGATACAGTTCGAAGGTCTCCTGTTGTATGTGACCGGGAGGGAGAAGGAGCAGCTCAGGAAACCATTTTCAGTCATGAACACCTGCCTTCCTTGCCAGGATCAGACACACTCTCATCTTCCATAGCACCTTGGAGTCCCTGTGACTATCAGTCCCCTGATTTCTAAATGTACCAAGTTTATTTCAGCCTGGACGCCTAGTTTCCCACGTCAGCAGTGCTGAATGAAAACAGGAAATCCACCCAACCATCTCACCAGCCCTACCTGCCCCTCTGATTCTCAGTCAACATCCCAGAGAAGGTCTCATTTTTCAGCCGATGATCTCTGCCACAACATTTCAGGAAGTCTTTATCTACCGTCTCCCTCCTCTTAGTGCCCGAAGAGAATATGGTTCTGCTCCTGTGAGGGTGCCACTGAAAACAAATGTCCAGGACTCAGAGGAACGCTCCAGCACTCAAACCTCAATTAATTCCCAGCTATTCATCAGACTAAAACACAGAAGACAGACTGACTTTGGGAGTCGGGCCCCATGGGATGGGAATAGAATCGGCATTGAGTACAGAGTAGCAAACCCTTAATCAACAGTGTCGGAGGGCAGTGGGTCTCATCCCAGGCTGCACACCATCATCTGAAGAGCTATTAAAGAGTGCTGATTTCCTGCAGGGAATAGGGTAGATCCTAGGCAGCAGTATATATTTTTTTAATTCTATAGATTCTAATGTGTAGGATGTATAAGATGGAACAGGAGGGAAGAAATAACACTTCCTGGGGTTTTGTTTTGTTTAGGTAACCTTCGTGTCTCAATTCTTTCCACCCTGTTATATGTTTCATATCACTGTACCCATCTCAAAGATAAGAAAACTGAGGCTGAGGGAAATAAAGTAACTCCCCCAAGCTCCCATCATTATAAGCAAAAGCCCCAAGCTTACTATTCAAGACTGAATCCATTGTTTTTTCTCCTCCACCGTATTTATCTCCCAAGGAAATTTTTAAGAAAATTGATGGTGAAAGGAAAGGGGCAGGAAAAAAAAATTGAAATCAAGGCTGTCACTGGGAAAATTAAGACTGGCCTAAGGAAGGCCTGGTGGAAGGGGCTCTGGAGGCTGTGAGCAGCCCTGGATAGCCAAGGCTGTTCACAGTCCCAAGAAGAATGAGGCAATGCCACCTAAGGGGGATGGGGTCCCAGCTAACCTGCCTTGTCCCTAGTTTCCCAGGGCTAGCCCTGCCCTCAGGGTCTTGCATCCAAAGTTAGCTCAATGGACCATTTTCCCATCAGACCCTGAACTGTGACTGGGGACGTCACAGCCCACCAGCTCCCATTTGAGAGCCTCTCAGCATGATTGATCTTCCTCTTCTCTGTGGCCTCCAGGCTGGTTATATTCAGTGGAGAGAATAAACTGACAACCCAGCAAACCAGCCTTTCCTCATTTCTGCAACTGATTTCTCTATTCTCTGTCTGCTTGGCTCTCCAAGCCCAGCAGCCCATCTGGTGGAATAGATATCCCGCTGCTTGCAGCCTCCTCTGGGACTGCTCGAAGATAGCAGAGGCCTCAGCCGTTTCAACTCTGTGTGTTTCTGCCATGAAACTGAATTTTATTTAAGCATCATATTTGGGGAAGGAAAAGGCGCTTCAGTCTTCGTTTTCTCAATAGTTTCTTTCAGCAACACCAAGATGCCTAATCCATTAAGGCAATCCTCAAAAGGAAAAATTCAAAACTAAAATCTCCCAGGCAGGCTGTGCTTCCAAAATCCAAGAGAATCTTTCAGTGAATATTGGGAAAGTGTAGAGCTGAGAGGGACCCTATAGATCATCCCTTAGAGGGGAAAGCTAAGACCCAAGTGGGGGAGTGACTTACCTGCTACCATGGCAATGGGGGTGCTTTGACCTCTTCTCCCCATGGGGTGTTCTATTGGGCAGGAGCTGTGAACTGGGGACAAGCAGAAAGCGGCATGCTGAAGGTGATGATTCCTGTTGAGAAAGGTGCAAATTTTACCATCCTGTGCATATATACACACATGACTAAAAAATGTGTACAGAAACTAGGGTTGGCGCCAAGGAAAACAGTGGATCTAAAGCCTGCAGGCTTAGCCCCAACTGTGAAGAAAACAAAGTGATCTTCGCTATTTACCAAGCCATCCTTCCCAAGCTGGCTAATCCCAGGGCCACCATACTGCTTAACTCCAGGGGGCCCAACTCACACAGTACCATTCATCTGTATTTTAGAAAGGTGGAAGAGTAAGAGCGCAAATATTAGCTATTATTGTTCTTGTTCTGCACTCACAGCAGGAACTGAGGCATTCATTGATAACTACAGGATTCATTAAAAACAAATAGTAACTGAAGAACCACCCCATCTTGAAATGTGACTTTCAAAATTCAAAAGAATAAATCTACAAAAGCAGGTTAATCACAAAGATCACTAAAAGAGAGGGAGGCCCTTTAGGAAGAGTTCCCTTAGGCACTCATGTAGGCATTATTTTCAGTGCTTTATGTATGAAAAGTCACAACAGCTCCATGACATGGGCATTATTATTATTTTACAGATGAGGAAACTGAGGGTAGAGTCATCAAGTAACTGGCAAGTCTCATAGCTGGCAAGTGGCAAAGGGGTTCAAAGGCAGCAACCTTACTTCCAACACCGTGTGCTGGACTGTTTCCATCAGGGATCCCCAGCCCCTGGGTCTTGGGGCTGTACCAGGAGCCAGGCCGCACAGCCGGAGGCGATGCTTCATCTGTATTTACAGCTGCTCCCATCACTCGCATTAGTGGCTGAGCTCCTCCTGCTTTCTGATCAGCAGCAGCACAACAAATGTAATGAGCTTGAATCACCCCTCCCCTAGTCTGTGGATAAATAGTCCTCTATGAAACTGATCCCTGGTGCCAAAAATGTTGGGGACCGCTGATTTATATCACTCCTTTTGCGAGTCAATTAATCAATATTATCTGCTTGTTTGAGCAGCTGGATCCTGTTCCATTGCCCTCAGATCACTGCAGGTGGCCAGCATGAAGTCTGCACTGGGGAGGCCATGACCAGGTGATCTTGCTCCCATGTTGTAGGGAGGTGATGGAGACCACCACAGGAAATCTACAGTGATTTCCGCTGCTCCAGAAAACCTACAATGAATGATGTCATCAGGGAATCACAGATCTGGACAAGAGCCCCAGGAACTCCAAACATCACGTGGGAGCTCATGGGGGAGGTTCTGGGCCTCTGGGGGCTCCTTCCCAACCCCCAGTCCTAGCCCTCCCTTGGGGAGGTGGAGTAAAAGGGAAGGGAGGAAAAAATGCTTTAAGCCCCTCTGCCATAGGCCAACAACATTCAGAGTAACTTTGAGACCCCCTCCAGGCCTCCCAACCAACAAAGAGAGGAGAGATTTTTTTAATTCATCCCACTCTGCAATTTTGAGCAATTCACATCAAGTCTCTGAGCCTCAGTTTTTCGTCTCTATAGACCCATCATATATGCATGTGTAAGAATTGAATTGAAGAGATTCTCTGGCAGTTCCATGGTTAGGACTCCAAGATTTCACTGCCAAGGGTCTGGGTTCAATCCCTGGTCAGGGAACTAAGACCCCGCAAGCCATGTTGCAGAGTCAAAATAAAATAAAATTGAGACGAGTGGTGAAAAGGGCTTCACACAATGTTTGCCACCTGGCAGAAGACCAGTAAGTGAGCCAATAAAATGACAGTTTCCTTCTGTTCTTCTGGGATTAAAAGAACGTGGTTAGGTTCCTAACTAATATTCATTCTTCTTCTTTACCAACAGATTCCTGATTTCATTCAGGGCTTCAAAACACCCAGATTTAGAAAATCACCTTCCCAGATTCCTTTGCAGGTTCAGGTGGCCATACTTCAGTTCTGGCAAATAGGATACAAGGATAAGACTATTTGGGGAGGCTTCTAGGACATTTGTCGCTTCCCTAAAAACAAGGGTAACACACTCAGCTAACATTTGCCTTTGACCCTTGCCCTTTGTCTCGTCTTCCTTCTGAAGGTGTGGCAACCATCTTGCCACAATGGGGACAAAGGCCATGGGCTGATGACAGGAATAGAGACAGGGCCAGGGTCCTAATAACATCCTTTGGTCAACACACCAACTCTAGACTTCCTGACTCTTGATTTATTGGGTTAGAAAAATAAACCCCTATCAGGTTTTCCATTATTTATAGCTGAACACTTTCCTAACTGATATTTACCAATCCCAGTTTGATGTATTGAAATAAATATAGTATAGAGATGCTGGGCTGTTTGTCCAAGGTCATATCAGGAATGATTAGTGGCAAATCCAGGTCTGCTGAGTATCTGAGTCTTAAATTCCCAACTCAAATGCCCTCCAAATCAATTCTATTACCACAAAAATTTTATTTATGTCAAGAATCAGAATGATCACTATTATAAAATATTTCTATGGTAGCCAATTGTGCCATGGATAAGAAGCTCACTTCTGGAAATGTAAGTAGCCAGTTTTTTAGGAAACTTGGATTTTGTTTAATCTGTGCAAGTGGACTTTTCAGTCTTGGAACAAATCATACACAATGCTCAGATGAAATGCTGACCATCTATAGCACTCAGGTTCACCCCTCAAGGAAACACTTGGAACACCACATTGTGAAATCAAACAAATAGAACTGCCTGCCCTGACATCTATGCTAGAGAAGATATTGAATTCACAAAAGTAATGCCTTGAACTACTAATAAATATTTTATAACCTGATCACTTAGGAAGTCAGGATTGAAAAGCACAATTATAGAAATATAATCTTTGCATGGCAAAATTGTTTGAGCTTAAAGTTCTCATTTGCCTTGGATTGTTACAATTTAATTAAAGCAATTTTCTGGACTCAAAAAATGCAATTAATAAGTAAAAGCAATTAGTAAATAAATTAATAAAGTCACATTCAAATGCCCTTGCTGAGAATTTATATCTGCAGGATGTGAGATTAATCAGAATCTCTGGAACTTTAGGATCCTTAGGAGAGAAAGGCCTAATGCTTTCCTTGGGAAGAGATGTGTCCTTGGAACTGTGAGGTTAGAGGCAGGTAATGTTGCTTAGAATTAATCCTGTCACCAAGCCATAGACTCCGGGTGGAATGACTTTGCAGTGATGCCCCCAGTGGCCATAGCTACAGTCACATCACTATTCCACTAGCCAGACCCAATGCATCCAGTGTAAAAACACATGACCCAGATTGTGCCAGATTCTCTCTCATGGGAAGTCAGGATGTAAACAGAAAGACATAGTGATGGGTAGTCTTTAGAACTGAGTCATGTGGCTGGCAGCAAACTGGAAATGGAGCCCACGAACTCCTGCCACTGAGGTCCCAGGGGCCTGTCTGTTCTCGCCCTTTCTAAGGTCACCTCATTCTGTGAATTATCCCAGGACTTTCCTAAGAAATACTTCATTTTAAACTTAAGCTAGGTAGGATCAGTTTCTGTTGCTTTAAAACAAAAGCCTTTTAGAGAATATGTTTGACACTGCTGTACACCCATGGGTAGGGTCATAAAGTCAGAAAGACTCATTCCTTTCCACCTCTAAGGAGAAATAAACAGTCCTAATCTTGGGCAAATAGAAAGTGACAAGGAATCTCTGACTCATTGGAAGAGACCCTGATGCTGGGAAAGATTGAAGGCAGGAGGAGAAGGGGACGACAGAGGATGAGATGGTTGGATGGCATCACTGACTTGATGGACATGAGTTTGAGCAAGCTCTGGGAGTTGGTGGTGTGCTGCAGTTCATGGAGTCCCAAAGAGTCGGACACAACTGACAACTGGACTGAACTGAATTCTCCCTAGGTCTCTAAGGAAAGTGGTTTCAGCATTTGGCCCTCACACTCTATACCAGGCCCATCTTTTCCAAGTTCTTTCTTCTATCTTTGTGGTGGCAGCCATGCAGCTAGTGGTTCAGAATGTGGGCTGGACTAGAGTTGGAAACCTAAGCCTGCTGCTTCTGAATGTGTGACTCGTGGTATTGTCCATGGCTCAGTTTCCCTGTCTAGAAAGAGGGGAGGTAAACAGAGTGCTAACCTATGGAATTATTGTGAGGACTGAGTTAACCTTGATGTGCTGAGAATAGCCTATCACCCCTAACTGTTCCAACCACCTCCTCCTATATTGCAAACACATCAGCCTACTTTTCAAAAACATATACTTTTAGCTGCTCAGGAGTCTTAAGGGGGCTTTGCTCATTCTGTTCTCTCTGCTTCGGAAACCCACTTCACCTGGACCCATTCCCCATATTCTCCCAGTGATATATGGCTAAAATGACCCCTGTTCCCCACCCCCACCCTATACCTATATTCACTCTCTGCTCTGGAATTTCACACAACCCCTCCCGTCAGGAGTCTATACTCCTCATCCCTTGATTCTGGGCTACTCATAGACATGCTTTAGCCAATAAAATTCAGAAGTGATGTGGTACCAGTTTTGAGCTCGAGCTTCAAGAGACCTTGCATGGTTTTTTTTTCTTTCTCTCTCTCTCAAACTCCTGCCCAGCCACAAGTTCAACTAGCCTGTTGGCTGATGAGACACACATGGACCAGTCTGCACCATTATCCCAACCCACAGCAAATCATGATCTCAAAGCAGAGCCACCTAGCTGACCAGTATCTGACCACAGATGCACAATGCTCTCCCTGCACCAGCCAAGACCAGAAGAACCACCCAGCAGATCCCAGCCCAAACTGCCAAGTCACTGAATTAAAAACTAAATAAGTGATTGTTGACTCAAGCCTCTGAATTTGGGGGTGATTTGCTACGTTGGAAAATATAACTGTCACCTACCCACTCTAAGCCTCATATTTCTCAGTGGTATAATGAAAGTAGGAATAATAAAATTTACCTCTCAAATTAAGTGTGAAGACTACGTGAGATAATGTGCATAAAATGCCTGTGTTACATGAAGAATTACATGACTGTTAACCACCAAAGACATGGTAATGATGATACTGGAATTTCCACTTTACCTCTCA